AATTATTGGTCACTCATCCGATGACCGATGCCTCTTATGTTCCCCATTGTTTGCATTGGACGATATCATGCACCGCATAATATAAAACAAAATGGGTCGCGTTTAGAGTGGGGAAACACTTAGGATTAGGCACTCGTGGGTCAACATGCAAGGCAAACTTAATGACCTTGGAGCAGAGGCAGCTAACATAGTTATGCCTAAAAATCAACACATGGAAGACCTAGGAGATGTGATCGGCGTGAAAAAAGCAACGCCGTTGCTAATTAGCGTAGAGCACGTTCAAAGGCAGGAGAGCGCTTCCACAGCTTAACATAACTAGGTAGTATCATTGACGGAGACAGTAGGAAGATAATAGGGCATCACATTATGGATAACCAAAGCCCAAGGAACGAAGAAATTGAAAAAAAACCTTGGAATAATAAAAAAAAAGTTGATGAAAAACTTGAAAAACTGTTTGGTGTCTGTATCGTTTATTTTTCAATCCTGCCTGACTCCACCCTCGGCTTAGAACTTCAGGATTCGGGTACATAAGGTGTATTAAAAAATCTGATGCGTAGTATGTACTACAACAAATTATTTTCACGAAGATTCTTGTTTTTATGCAGGGCTTATACCACACTGCTTGCAAATAAATTTGTAGGTGATTTCATAACTTGTTAAATATAAATAATTGTTATAACGTGGACTAAATACATATTTGATTTTTTTAAGTAGGTAGAAGATTTTCCTTAAAGTCTTGACAAAATCGTAAACAGAGCTAGCAGTTACTCAATATTTTTTTTTACTATTGAACGCGACAGTACCTTCCTATCTACCTAAATTATATAAAAGTTCACTTTGCCCTCAGTTATGCATCAATTCATTGTTACTCTGTAAGTAAAACCTCTGAATTTCTTCATGAGTAGCTAAAGTCATAAAATTAACTCATTTGATAATATCATCAACTTTTTATAATTGGACGAAGTGAGTAGGTAGGTACTCAATTGTGTTTCCTTAATGTAAAGGTTTTGATTCTAGACAACCGCCCTAAAATAATTGAAGAGGGGGATGGATGGATGGATAAATCCGTTAAATTATTTTATTTACATTCCTGATGATGAAATCTAGCAAAAATTAAAATATCTTTATTCAAATTGGATTCAAAAAACAACTCTTTAAAATTGTAAATATTTTTTTCCAGTTAAGGGGATTTTTTTAGCAGTGGAGCAAAACTCATATTGTAATATATTGTTACAGTGTAAAATATTATATTGTTACGGTGGAAAATATTATGCAAAATATTATAATGTATAGATGCTAAAGAATTCCTTCAACAAATATTTCGCTGTTGTCCTTTCCATTGTCAGACTCTTTTTTTGATGTATCATTTAAGGCAGTACTTTTTTTCACTTCTTAATAAAACATTTACAATCAATTTCCGTGGCCGACTGGTTTATACGCCGGGTTTCAAGGTGTCGCCTACTCGAGAGGTCCCAGATTCGAATCCTGGTAGGGGCAGATATTTGTGTGTTGAATACGAGCATTTGTACTCTAACCATGGATGTTTAATATGCATTTCTGTATAAATATACTTATATATGTACAGTATATGTATACTATCCGTTACCATCCCAGTTAGCATCCCATAACACAAGCTTTTAGGGTGACAAATCAACATCGAGCTATGCTGCGCTGTACTGCGCTATGCTGTGCTGCGCTTTGCTATGCTACGCTGTACTGTGCTGTGTTGTGCTGTGTTTCTTGAGTTACGTTTTTTTAACAATCGACTGCGCTTTGCTTAGCTCAGTATTAAAAGTAATCAGCAGCTCGTGTAGTCGTCTATTATCTCGGTCGTTCATCTCGTCAAAAATGACTTTATTTTCAAAAAAATGTAAATATTACGACATAGTTGAATCCGATGAAGATGAAAGTGAAGAAGAAGCGGGTATGGATATTTTATGTGTTTTGTCTTTAAAAGAGTCCAGTCATGGTAGCTTGTTACCACACACCATACGTGAAAAATACGGAGGATTTAATTTTCTAAAGAATATTGCCACTGAAGACGATTTTCTTTCAAATATTTCCGAATGACTAAAAATTATTATAATTATTTACATTCGTTAGAAAGTCCATATATAAAAAAACAAAATTAACTGTAAGAAAGCCATAAGCACAGAAGAGAAATTAGCAATCTGTTTGTGGTAAGTACGTAAATTATTTGATTGCACAAGGCAATTTTTTCTTTACATTTTCCCTGGTGTATGTATTAGTAATTAATTTTGTATGAAGAATAATAATTCATAAAAATTTTACATGGTAAGATAGTGAACCTATTTTGACATATCTTTTTAAAACTTTACATGCAATGCGGCAGTACTCTAGTATGTACGTAGTGCGTGCGTGACTTGTCAATATAATAAAACAATGGTAAAAACGTTCATTAACTTTACTAATGTTACATTATATAAAAAACAAGTACTTAGCAAAAATGAAATTAAAATGGTATTGCTTAGAATTTTTAAATTAATCAATTAGGGAAGTAGCTTTGGCCTCCTCGCTTGCATACGGTCCGAACACGGTGTTCCCACCGACTGGAAGGATATTGGCATCTTGTTCAGCTGTATATCCTCCTACAGATTGAGTTGAGGCACTACTTGAAGATGTAAACACATTGTGTAATGTATCACAATTGGTATCTGAGGATTGGACACCTTGAGCTGTTGTATTCCCTCGAGTACTAGTTAAGGCACTATTATAACTAACTATTTCCGTAACTAAATTAAAAATCTTTCTCTTGAGACAAAGCTGTGCGTGCCGGTTTGGGTATTTTTTTTGTACTTTCACAAACATTGAGAAAAAAATGATCCATGTCGTCCATTTTGTCAATTACTTGGTTTCTCAAATCACGTTCTGTTTTTATTTTCTATCGCTCTGTTTGCTGGATCTTAACAAAATTTAAAAGTTGAATCTACAAAAATGTGAACACATGAAAATTTTATTGCCTAGTTTAAGACCTGTCGTTGTATAAAATGCACCATTGTTGCTCTGCTGTAAAAAAAAGTATGTTCTCTTTACTGTCATCGGGCCATGCCCTTACTATTAAATATATCTATTGACGCAGTGATGTTTTTAATGTGATTTTGATCATAAAAATAAGTACATTTTCATTTTGACTCAACACGTCAGGCGTCGCGTTTCATAAATCTGATTCGGCATATTGTTTAGTTTTGGGGAATGAACGCGCAAATCCCGGATAATACTTGTCCGATTCGAAAAAATACTTTTGTGCAAGGAAGGCCATAACCTATATAACATTACGCAAGGACCAGGAAGAGTGGAGCATCGATGAAAAATGTTGCAAAAACGGGTAAAAATATTCCATTTGTGAGCTTTCATTGTAAAATACTGGACAAATTTAAAAATTCTATTCTTAAATTGTTTCGAAAAATAAATGATAGTCCATTTAAAGAAAAACAATTAAAAAATTAATCGAGCACAGGATCGAACCACTGATCATTTGGTGTCGACCCCAAGACCGTTACTGTTTGGCTATCTGTCTCTTGTAGTAAACTATAAAATTACGGATATCTATCTTGTGACAAATATTCTACTTCCGTTTTATCAAATCTCAAGTCACAATACACAATAGGTACTAAAGAAGTTTTCACTAAAACAAAAAACAAAATTACCGAGCTGAGCTCGGTCGAACTGTTCGGCTATCCGTATTTTGTAGGTACCTGATAAAAAATACGGATACCTATCTTGTGTCAAATACTGAATTTCAATTCACAAAGAAAGAAGAAAAAAGAAGTTTTCACTTCAAAAACTACACTACACCGAAGCGAAGCGAGGGCGGGCAACTAGTAGACTATAAAAGACATTGCATTGTCTACGATACATTTTTTTTGTGCACACTACCGTTCAACATACTTTGTTAGCTATAAGAAACAGATAATTTAATTCAAATTCAGTGTTTTTGGCGCGTCAATCCATGAATCATACTGCAACTAGGGTTACAACGATATATCGGAATATCGATATTTATATCGATATTTAAAATTCACTGATATCGATAATATCGATATCGGAAATTCCAAAATATCGATATTTTGAAGACTAAATTTGGACACAATAATATCAATTAATTTACCTGCTATGACTATCTATATTGAATAATATCGAAATAACTATTGCTTTGAAATCGCAAGAGCTTATAGATGTATTAAAAATTCTTGAACCCTAAGAAATATACTAAACTGGTGTGGATTCTGGCATGATTCTCTAAACCTAAAATTAAATTTGACAACAGTGTATCCTTGTCATTCTCTATACAGAATGAAAAGGAGAGACTGATGTTAAAATTAGTTTTAAGTTAAGATAATCATGCCAGAATCGACACCAACGTATATAGGTATAATCGTATACCTAATAGTAACTCATGCACTTAAATAAATCCTTGCCTCTCTTTCTAGATAATTGTCAACTACTGATTAATTGAAATTTAATTGTAATATAACACAAAATAAAATTAAGAATCTTATACAAATCGTATTTTTTTAAGCTCGCCAAGTCAAGAAAGTAAGATAGGTATAGTAATTTTGGAAGCTTTGGGTTTATCCTATTCTGAAGCCATGGGCACTCCCCTGATGTTTTAACATTGTGAACAAAATAAATATCTTTGATTCGAAATTGCTTTTGATTTGATACTTCTTACAGCGCTATAAAAATATAGAAAATATCTATAAACATCGTGTTGGAAATGTTGGAATGGCTGATATATCGGATCGGATATCGATATTTACCTGCCCACATTATAAATATCGATATTTCGGAAACCTTTGCTTCCTTAATTTTAGGTTTTTGCTTGGTAAACTTAATACAAAGCAAAAAAGAAAAAAATATCGATATATCGATAATATCGAGTTAAAATGGTCGATATATCGGATATCGATATTTTCCTGACTTCGATATAAATATCGATATTTCAAAAGACTTTGCATCCCTAACTGTAACTAGGTACTTTATTGGTATGTAGGTACATACTTAAATATCTTAAAACGATTTTTATTACAGAGAAATGCCACCAGCGGAAAGGCACTTTTTGGGTTCAATTATACTTCAATGGATGAGCAACAGAGGATTTCTTATGAACAACAACTGTTACACATATTGGCTAAATGGAGTCACAATGATTTGTTGTCATGTTACATTTGTTTTGCAATGTGTTGCTGTGATCGATGCGCGTGATGATCCGGAGAGGCTTATGCAGTGTTTCTGTGACGCATCTTTCGGTGGAATGTGTGTTTTAAAAGAGTTTTTGAGAAAACACCGTCATTGTTGGATTTCCCTTCTCAGTAAAATTAGTCATTTAGAAGAGGAAGAGCTTGAATTCGAAACAAAATCAATAAACCAGGACGAAGACGCGCATAATATCGTGTTTTCTGGTCACATCAAAGAAATTAATAAGAAGGTTAAAAAGTTAAATAACATTTTGTCCAGACTATTCTCAGTTACAGCTATTGGATATATGTTGACACCGTTTATAGAATATGGTATCAGGAAACTTATCGGTGCAGAAACAGCTGGTTTACCCCACATTACACAATATTGGTCACCTTTGAAAACAAACCTTCTTGGATACATTTTAGCAATAACGCTTGAAATTCTATTTGTTATTAACAACTATGCCGTTCACACCACATTTGATTTTTCAGTCTTTGGAATTATGATATTTATCAGTGGGCAGTTTAGGTTATTACACGACTACAGTGAAGGAGACTGCGGCTCAACATTATGTATTTCTGAAACAAGGGAAGACCTTGCGCATGCAAAAATAAAAAAATGCCATGAAATCCATGTTAAGCTAATAAGGTAAGAAAAAATATTTTTAAATAAGCTATCTATTCCCCGTGACTTCGTACACATTGTCGTGTCACGTAGACCAAGAGACATGGACATAGGATTTTGCTACGTTATAAATGTTTTATCTTGACAGGCGACACCACAGAACACTGGAAGGGGTTGGATGGTCCTTGTGGGCGGGGCAGACGCACCACAGTTATGTTTGAGCAAATGCTCATAACTTGACCAAAACTTGGTTCTCATTGCGTCGTTGCTGTCGGGTGTGAGCGCTAATTGGTTCAATTGTTTGATGTCGCGTCGTTTGATTGGCCATTATCTATTAAGTGGGAGTGTAGTTAAGGCGAGCCGGCGACATCGTTTCCAGTACAAACGGTATATGATTATCGTTCTAACCTCTTTCTGTGTTCTGTGGGCGACGTTATCGATGAAAACTAGTCAAATATGTTTTATTAATGCTGGCACTTCACTTAGCTATTCGTGTTTGCTATTTGTCTGAAAATCCGAATATCCAAGTAAAGAGACGGCATAAGCATTAAGACAAACTTATTTGCTGAAACGAATACGAACAAAGTGTGTTCTTTCCTGAGCTTCTTGTCTGACGCTGGCATTTCACGTGGCTTTTCGTAGGTATTTGTTATTTGTAAATTTGACTTGAGTCTCTAACGTATCATTCTCTATATGGTATGATAAGGTACTGTTGTCAAATTTACAAATAGCAAATAAGTGAATAGCCATGTGAAGTACTAAAACTTCTCGTGAGTTACTTCTAGTTAGTGGTTGGCTGCTGTTATTGTTATTACTGTATGTAATTTGAATAGGTGACAAATATTAACATTTTATGACTTTGGACCAAAAAGCTGCTAGTTATTTAGTTAGTTGAATATTGCAGAGGTGCGGTTCGAATCTAATCTGAAACCTGAACCGAATGGATTTTTTTCTATTAAAATTTTCTTCATTTATTAATATTTTTATTGAATCTAACTTCACGGTGACCCCTTATTAGTAATAATTACTAAGTATTGTAATTTATTCTACAGTGTGACCACGTGTGACGAGAAGTTGATTTCTATGATTTTACTAGGTAGTTTAATAATTTTAAAATGTTTATTTCAGAATAACCAACAAATTGTCAAAGCTCATTAAAAACATATTGGGGGTGTATTTTACTCTAAGTACAATTTCATTGTGTGCAATTGCGATAAGATTAAGTACGGTAAGTAACAATAGTGCTTTGATGTCTTAGGCGCGGGACTAACGATAATTTAATATCGTTGTGCGGGATACACAGAAACGGACATACCTACATAATTATTATGTCTCTTCCGCGTCCTTTTAATACTTACCTTAAGAAGGGTAAAGATTTCTCACAAAAGAAAAAATGTTTGCATAAACATAAAAATTATACACTCTCCTTGCCTTTTATTCGGAAAACTGATTTATTAAATCATTTAAAGCTGATAATGACTTTAATTTTTCTGAAGTTTCTGCCTCTATGGACAATAATGACAGGTCTGACAGGCGTTCATGTCCCATCGAAGTTCTTGGGTAATTTTTTATCAGTTTTAATTGTGAAATACTCCTTTCAGCAGTTGCGGTTGTAACTGGAAGGGTCAAGAATAAAAAGCATGCTGTTATTACCTCCGGAAAACTGAATGCAAGACTATTGAATCTTATCAGCAATAATTCAATGAGTTCCTTAATGTAACGAATTATTTGAATTTCTGATTTTAAGCGTGTTTTTTTGAGCCTTTAATAGGTCATAAAGATAACTAAGATGTCTTTACTATATTTAACCGACAGTTTTCCGGAAGCGCTTAATATCTTCGTTTGAAGAAGACAGGAGTTTCTCCGATTGTAATATTTCGAACATACTACTCAGGTCGCAAAAGGCTCTGATATCTTTGTTTTGTTAGACAAATTAATATATCTAAACAACTATAGTACCTAAACATTGACTTGGAAATAGGATTCTGGGTCTGAAATAGGGTGTTGCCAACTTTTGAACGCACACTTTACGTGGGAAAAAAAAGAAATACCTTTACAAGTCAAAAGACTTAAAAAAAATTGGGAAGTTTTTATTCATGTTCGCGTATTATTGATACGGCAGATAAGGCGGTAGCTACGCCCCTGCTAGCGGTAGTAGTATTACCTTTTTTTTTTTTTTTTTTTTTTAATGTCTAGAAAATGCATTACGCATACTTCGCCAACCGAGGGTTGCGGACGAAGCTATCGGGGACTCCTCTCCGCCGCTTCAGGGAACACAAGTGCTCCGAGAAGCAAGCGGGGCCCTACCTCGCCAAGAAGGCGACCGCCACAAGGGCGACCGTAAAAACTAGACAATACTCCTGCACCGGTCACCCGGCGCGCATTATGAGGGACCGCGGTCCCTCCTAGTGCGCACCGGGAGTGCGAGTGATGTGGCGGTATCCGTTTCCGAATAGTCCGCCCACCCGCAAGGTGATTGTCCGCAAGCGGACCCGCCCCGATGAACATGCCCCGGAGTATGAGGGGCATCAACATCCAGAGAGCTTGTGCAATGCAAGCCTGGCCCCCTCAGGACAGACTCGCGGCCCTCATGAGAGTGGGAGGGAGAGCGTAGTTCTCTCCGTCCCTCTCTCGTCCCCCCTTGGCCCTGAAAAGGGCCTTTTGAGCATCGACCAGCCACTATCAGTGATTGCTAAGAATCACTGTGGGGTGATGCTCCTACCCCCTGGCCCTGAAAAGGGCCGTTTCCCCGCTCTGAGCCCTAAAGGGACTCAGCAACCCCCGGCCCTAAAAAGGACCTTTTCTCCCCCCGCGGCCTTCAATAAGGCCATCCCCCGTGCTAGGGTGGCAAGAGATGCGCCGGTCTTCTCCTCCTTCTTCCCCCCCTCCTGCTCCGGAGAGAGCCAGCGAGGGCCTGTTCCGTCCGGACTCTCTCCGCAGCCTCCTTCTGCGAAATGGTGTCTTCGCAAAAAGCCACCATCGCCTGCCAGGACCTGTCACTCTCCAGCATGGCCTTGACCACGCTGGGCAGTGAGAGGTCCGTTCCCAGGATCGAAACCAGAGTGCCGCGCTGCCGAGTCCACGCCGAGCACACCTCCAGGGTGTGCTGAGCTGTGTCCACGGCATCACCGCACTCGTGGCACGAGGGGTCCGCCTCCCTCTGTATCTGATACAGGTACCTTCCAAAGCAACCATGCCCGGAAAGCACCTGCACCAGACGAAAGGTTAGCGACCCCGACCGTCTGGAAACCCACTCCCTGAGAACTGGACGGATCGCCTCAACCGTCCTGACGCCCGCCGTCGGACTGCCGAGACGCCCCAGCCAATTCTCCATCAGCACCTCTCTTGCCTCCCTATGCACCTGCGCCACCTCCTCAATAGTGGCACGCTCCCCTCTCGCCATCGCCGAGACCCTCCCCTGGTACACTTGCGCAAGCACTTGCGCTTCCAGGTCCCAGGGGGGCATCCCGGCGATAACACACGCCGCCTCGTATGACGTCGTACGATACGCCCGTGCTGCACGGGTGGCCACTACCCTCTGCGGTCTCCTGAGCATTGCTCTGTTGACCACACTGAGGGCATCAGCCCACACCGGCGCACCGTACAAGGCCATACTCCTTATCACACCAACGAACAGTTTCCGGCAACTGCTACCGGGGCCACCCACATTCGGCATGATCTTGCCCAAAGCCGCCGCCGCACTAACCAGCTTCGGGGCCAGAAGCCTGAAGTGGTGGTCAAACCGCCACTTACCATCAAGCTCTAGCCCCAAGTACCTCATGTGCGGTTTTAGCTGAACCGGTAGATCGTCCACCCAGATTCTAGACCCACGTGGCGGCCTGGCCTGTGGGCCATGGAAAATTAAGGCCTCCGTCTTAGAGACCGCCACGTCAAGCCCTAGTCGCCGGATCCTGGTCATTAATATGACCGCCCCCACCCCGGCCATCCGACTGGCTTCCCCGTAGTCCCTCCCTCGGGCCAGGATAAGAGTATCGTCCGCGTAGCAGATTACCCCTATCCTGGGCCTAAAGACGCCACGAAGAACCCAGTCGTAGCCCATGTTCCACAAGAGCGGCCCGAGGACCGACCCCTGTGGAACACCGCGGACCATGTTCCTCTCCACCAGCACGCCATCCGCCCTAGCATACAGAACCACCCGCTCCTCTAGGTAGTCTTCGATTACCTTTACGAGGTATGCGGGCAGCTCATGGTAGCGTAGGGCCACCTTGATCACCTCAAAAGGGAGAGAGTTGAATGCGTTCTGAATGTCAAGGGACACCGCAATAACTCTCTCTCCTTTGCGCACAGCCTCCTGTGACACCCTTTTCACCTCCGTGATCGCATCCATTGTGGAGCAACCTCTCCTAAAGCCAAATTGGCTCCCGGCCAGGTTAGGACCCGCGGTGTCCAAGTGCTGGATGATTCGGTCTGCGAGAATCCTCTCAAAGACTTTACCGATTTCATCCAGCAGGACGAGGAAATGAATATTGTAATGTCCATTTTTATAAGTAAAAGGTAGTTAGGTAATAAGTTACGATAAAAACCTTGTTTTCAGGAAACCAATATAATAAAAGTGATGGTTTTGGCTCTGTACACGCTTTCTGCCTTCCTTCAATTGTTCCTGTTTTGTTACTTCGGGGATAACTTACAAAATATGGTAGATAAAAATGTATTTGTAAATATAAAAATGTATACATATATATGCCATAGTTATTAAAGGCATCGTAACATACACACCTCTTTCTGTGATAGAGATTATAATAATACCTAGACACAGTCAGCTTCATAAAAATCGAAGTGTGAAGACTCATCAAAATAGAGTGTTTGATAAGTTTTAAAAAACGATCTCACGATATTCATCATTCTGTTGTGTATTTCAGTAAAAATAACCAAATCAAAAACTCCATTTTCAAGTTGCCGCGAAAACGTTTCTCTGGACAATATGGCGTCTTACTACTTAGTGTGTGATGTCACAGGACTGTTTATTAAAAAGTCAAACGATACAATGTAATGTCACTTTAACCGGAAGTTTACTTGCGTGTGACGTCATTTTAGGCTCCGCCAATCCCAAGCGTTTTGGGTCAAATGACAATAGATAAGAAAACTATTATCTTTTTCGTGGGTTTTTAGTAAAATTATGATATTTTTTTTGTAAAAATAGTAATAACCCCTGCCAATACTCATTCTAAACACAGATGCTAACAATTGGCACTTTATTTTTAATACTGTCAAATACCCTATTATCGAAGATCCATAAATTCAATTTTATATGCGCTGTTAGATAATCTTATTGTGTAACCGGTCAGAGTGGACAATATTAACGAAACAACGTCATTCATAATTATGTAATATGATGATAATCAATTATATATTCGCGAATAACTGTTTAATGGTATCTAAACATACAAAGTTATCAAAAATATCTTAGTAGTAAAGTAAATGCTAATCTGAGTTATTACGGGTCTTATCTTTCAATTTCGTGCATGACATAATTGAGCTGTCTTTTGTTTTGGCCTAATGGCTCGATTCCATTAGGCAACTTACTTGTATGCAAGGTCCAAATTACATGCTACTGCATACAAGCTGCTAGTTGCGTGTCAGTTGTACATTTTTATTCAAGTGACGCGCAAATTGAAAGAGTAAACATTATTTGCACGTTTCACTTAGTAAGTTAGTTGCACATACATACTATAACCTACTCTACTCAATAGGGCACATCCACTTGTATGCAAAGTAAAACCTGCATGCAATTTACACACTCCCGAAGGCTCCTGGTACTCCATTCGGAAATGGGGTCAAAAGCCAGATTGAATTCAGCGACAAGATTCTCCCATTTCTCCTTGGTTTCTACCTGTGCAGCCGCTGCGTGTCCAAAGTATCTTGCATGCACTGTACTATCATCTGCATAGCAAATAATATTCCCAAGAGAAATCAAATCATTGATATGCAGCAGAAAGAGTGTGGGGGATAGAACGGAGCCCTGAGGAACACCGGTATTTACTGACATGAACTGCGAACTACATCTCCGTAAGGACACGAATTCTGCACTCATGCAGCTACCCAGGCGTAGAACTGAGCAGGCAGACCAGATGCAGGAAGCTTGGAGAGAAGGCTTTTGTGCCAGACCCCGTCAAATGCCTTGGCGTTGTCAAGGCTGATAGCTAGAGACTCTCGCCGCTTGTCTATAGCTTCACCCCAGTAGTGTGCCACGCACGCTAGAAGGTTGGGCGGTACCCTTTTTTTGGGCACCGGTTGCACATTGGCATCGCTCCAAGTCTCAGTTCGTCGTCGGCATACGACCCAAAGAGTACGAGAGTTGGTACAACCGCGTAAGCGCTTAAGACAACTCCGCTGCACAATGTTGCAGTATAATTGCTGGGATGCTATCGGGTCCGGGTCTAGCTTTCCGGACTTCGAGTGAACGTCGACTCCGCTACGGCTATGTGAGGCGCCGCTCTTACCACCGACCACTAGTTGACGGCTAGGCGGCATCAGATTGAATCTGAACGGGAGTCAGCGGGAGGGGCGTGGACGCAACGCGGCTCGGGAGCTTGTCCCGAGTCGAGGCGATTACGTTAAGATTCTGATTACTGTGCGTTACAGTATGAAGTTTCATACAAAGTCGATACACGGTGACGATCCCTTTCCGAGTTTATTGATATGTGTGCTATAAACTTAAATTTTATTTAAATGAATAATAATCTATGTAAGCAAAGATATTTATGATTACTCTGGACGCTTAGATACCAATGAACAGTTACGACGCATACATATTAAAGATCATTGTAATGGTGTAAGTATATGTATTTGGAGACTTTTGATCTGAATAAATATAGAATGGTTGGTTGTGTACAAAATTTAGATAACTTTAAATGCAAAGATATAATTGAACCTTTGCTCTAAACATGTATTTGACCTCCTTCTCACCTCATATTTTTATGAAGCTGTAGTAGGTACGTAGGTATTGTAAATATAAACTGTGTCACTAAACAAGCACGTGGTCCGCCTAATGGTAAGCGGCCACCATAGCCTATAGACGCTTGCGATAAAAATATATCTGGGGACCCTGACCCAATCCCCTACCCCGTGGAGCCCTGGAACCTGATTTGGGATGTACGGCATTAAAGTTTACTTACCTGCATATGTCTAGCTAGAAAGGTATTTTACTATAATGAAAACTGATTTTTACACTTTAGAGTTCAATAGGAATGGGTAAGGGGCCATACGCTGCTGCATACTGGGCTCTCAGTCCTCGAGTGAGGAAAGAGCTGATTCTCCTGGCAAAGGGTATGTCGCGCCCGTGTCACCTTTACGCCAGACCTTTTACCAGACTCAATCTGCCATCACTCCTACAGGTAAAGAAATCCTATATAAGTAGTAGATGATACCTAACGCAGGCTTTTGAGGCAAGTCATCAATTTATATACCTACACCGGTCGAAGAAAAGCGGCGCTTGATAGACATAAGGTGCTGATAGCATGCAAAATGTTTAGATTGTTGTTTGAATTAATGACTTGATAATTTTTGGCAGCCTTATAGCCTGCGCAGACGAAGGACTTTTGACAAGTCCCTGAATCGTGAAGAAAATGTCCGCCGAGGACTTATCGCGGACTCAACAGACACGATGTGCGATCATTTGTTCCCCGAAAATTTAATAAAGCGCATGCTATGGATGTGTATATTCTCAGATTACCTACGTCGTGTGGTAATTAACATGAAGTTTAAGAAGAAGAGAAGACGTTTTAAAAGAAAATAGTGGATCCATTTCTTTAAATTGGATCGATAGCGCAAATCGGGCTAAAGTTAGCTGTATGCGTTGCTGCACCTAGTCACATGACTTCAATTTTTTTCGGGGATACACGTGGAATTTTGTTCTGCCCGGTCTTTTGGTGTCCTCGGTTGTTCCGGGCATTTTTTATACACGATAATTTTAATCCGACGTGTGTGTTACTCGATACAGTTTTAAGCGATCTATTTTGGCGAACATAAAGTCCGCAGACAATTGCCCTCGTCTGCGCGGGCCATTATGGAAGTGGATTACTTGGTACCTATTAGGTGATCATCGCAAATTAAAAAAGACTTGGGTACCTACAAAAATAAAAAAGGGTTTTTTCCTTTGGATTTAATTTAATACCTACTTCCGATCGAGCGTGCATGTGTGTATGTGGCTCCTGAGGAAAATCTTATATAAATTGCAGTAAGATAGATAAAACCGTAATATAGTTATAATGATAACCTCATTATATGCCGTCACATAGTTGTACGAAAGCGATTCATTACTATCATAAGGTCGCAATCTAGTAATATGTTCATCTGATTAAACTAGTTTTGTTAAAAGTTCTCATAGAATCAAATAAAACAATCTATGTGGTTTTTTATTTTTATTGAAAAATCAACTTTTTGTAGCATGTAATTAGTTATACGTAATTATTAATAAAAATTATATCGATCTTATTTCGCATTTAAGCATTAGCAAAATAATTGTGAAAAATATATATACCTATAAAAAATACAATGGAACACAGAACCTCCTCCTTTTTTGAAGTTGTTTAAAAACTTGGTGTTTGTAAAATACTTAAAACCAGTTTTGCGACTTCTGTTTTGACAAGACACGGAATCTTGAGATCTACACTCCTACAACTATTTTAGTAAACTGAATCAAGTAATATAATTATATCACTCAACTTAAACCGTTTTATAATCATATTCCTAGTAAGATAGTAATAAATCGCTTACGTATAACTATGTTACGGTATATAATTATATCTCTAGGGATATAACTATATTACGAATTTATTTATCTTACTGCGACATATACACATGATTGCCTAGTGACTAGTTGCAGTTGGCTCGCGGTGGGATGATATAAAGGCAAATTAAAGAAGGATGATCGGAAATACACAGCTCTTTAGACTATACTAAACAATAATATTGTGCAATCGATTTTCATCTCTAGCTCTTGGGTTCAAAGCACAAAATTGAGTTAAGAATTTTGCCATTTTGTTGTACGCTGACACAGAGGGGTCATATAAATTAAATTAATTGCAAAAACAAAATCGATCGGCAGTCAATATCTTATTTATAACATTTATTTACAGTTCAGGAAGATTCGACGGTCGTCATGTGATAAAAATAATTATTACTTAAGTACCTCATTAAAAACAAAACCAAATTAGGTAATTTGTTTTTACAGATCATTCGTGCCGCTTACAGCTACTACGCAATTATAGTCAAGTACAAATAATATGGATAGTTGAAGAATCATCTAAAAGTAGCAACATTGCGCCCACGTGTCAGTCCGTCGTCTTTCTAACTATGATCACATGGGCTGTTAGGCAAGAAGAAATATGTAAACAGATATTTCAACAATTTGTTTTGCTTTATGCTAACATGATGACTAAGCTTCCCTTTTTAACTGTCGACAAGGGAGCGATTAACTATTGACTATATTTTTTTGCTGGAGAAACGTATAAGCACGGTAATAATATCTATACAGTACTCTATCTTCATACAAACGGTCATAAAGCGTGTCATACCTACGCCACTCGAGTTCGCGCGGCACCCAGTGGGCATCCAGTCGCGAATGCGCCTCAGCGACGACCGAACGGAGTGAATTATTTTTTAAGCAGTTAGCCGTGCTTACCGTTTGTATTGTGAATATTTGGTTGAATTAAGTAGATACCTACATAATTGAATATGGCAAATAGCAATATTCGATATTGCGCTGTTTTTGGTTGCTTGGACTCTTCAATTATTAAACTTTTTATACGAATGCGTATTTACTATACTATTAAATTTAATAATAAAGCTTTGCGTACGTCTCAGTCGAGGCGTAAATATTTTTCTGTCCCATATCTATTTTTTTTCATTATTAAATATTACACTTAAAATAACATGTGTTTTATATAACATTTCCTAATTCATTCACAACATTTTTATTACATATGAAATAAAATATTTACAGTCACAAAACTAGAAAGAAACTCAATTATGTAGAAGAAATTAAAATACTGTAGGCGGGCAGCCCTACAGCGTGGATACGCCCCGCTCGGCCGTAGGCAGTTATTTTAAGGACAGGGCCGAGTCACAATACTACCGTGGTATAAGATAGATGCAAGATCCCCTAACCATAACAGGGAGAACCATAACGGGGGCTGTTCACACTGCTAACAACTTTATAATTTTTGATGCTTGTGAGCAAGAAGGAAATTAACACTTATAGCCGTACTTATAGAAACGTCATATTAATTTCATGCTTCATTATGTAACATGTCTTATTCTATTGTTATCTCAAAAATAAACTCAAAACTTTTATTATTTTCATTGTTTATTCACCAAATTTTAAATATTGTACAAAAAAATATAGCTAACTTTTAAGTATATATCTACCTGTACGGTGCTGGTTTCATATTATTATGAATACCGATGTAATGAGGGTGTTCAGGAAAATGTACGTCACCCGTTGGTGCCACTGTGACATGAGGTTTTGTGTGAAGTTTAAGACGCGAATTAATCGAACGAGCATTTAAATTGATCGATACATTATGCCGAGGTTTGTCGGATGACTAGACCTTTCGGGTCGGTGCTGCCATCTGGCACTTGTCATTCCAGAAAACCCTCATTGATTAATTGCCAATATGGGTTTTTAATAAAATGTATCCTAATAATTGGTAGCTGGCGCTACTATAGCATGAGGTCTTATAAATAGAATTTTAAGCGCCAAATAATTGAGCGAGTTTAAAGGTGTATGTATCCTTCGTGATTTAAAGAAAAAGTAAATAAGCACTTTGACAGAGGACCTCTTGCCTCTAGATCTGCAATGCCCTTCGTTTTCAATGCCGGCTCTTCACTTGGCTATTCGTGTTTGTTATTTGTAAACATGACATAAGTCTCTCCTTCTCATTTCTTAAAAAGTATTATAAGGGCAGACTGTTGTCAAGTTAACAAATAGCAAATACGAATAACCGAGTGAAAACAGGAACAAAAGCACCAACATAAATAGTGAAGTGCAGAGTCCTCCCCACGATACACCTTCGCGATTATTTGTAAAAATAGTGCATAATTTCATCGAACTAGATCTGCTGGTGGTTCTTCAAGAAGTCCAAGACAGACGCTTGATTATGGTCTGTCCATTTAATGTTGTTTTTGACGGTTTCCAAAGCGCGACGCCTCGAAGCCGCACCTGCGCCCGCTTCGGGGTATTGATCGAAGAAAACTTCCATCTGCAGATAAAACATTATCATCAGCCTATTAATTTCCTCGCTGCTGGGGCACAGGTCTTCTCTACGAATGGAATAGGGAGTTTTGGGCCATGACCCACCACGCGAGCCCAGTGCGGATTGGTGGGTGCTAACGACTGCAGATGCAGCCGGGACCAACGGCTTAACGTGCCTTCCGAAGCACGGAGGAGCTCGAGATAGTAAATTTTTGCTCGCCCATCCAATGACCAACCACTGCGAAAGTTGCTTTACTTCAACGACCGCAGCCGAACGCGCTAACCATCGAACTCCTCAGAGACAAAACATAACTTGCGTAAAGAACACAGACGTTCACAGCACAGACAGATCGAAATAGATAACGCCAACGAATGCATGTATTTCGCGTACCAAAAACATGACAAAAAGGGTGGCCAATGGTCTACCTTTTACGCTTATTTGTTTCTTCGCGTCCCCGTTCACGATACCGGACGTCAATAGTAATGTTTTAAAATTATCTAAGTACTTATGTCATATTAGGCGGTTTAAAACGATAAAATTGAAATAGGTAACCGGGGCCTATGCTTTTTCACTACTTAATTTGTCTCGTGAGTATGATTACTCAAGCGTCAACCAAGCGTGTCCTATTTTGATAAATAGTACACGCTTGGTTTTCAAACAATTTAAAGCACATGCGAAGTCCACTTCAATCTAGGCTTGTGGTTTAGATGATTCACCTTCTACTGTTCTTCCAATATAATTTGACATAAGTGATGTTAGCCACGCCGCTACGTAATAGAGTCTTAGGAGAAAAGTTGCCTTCTGCAACAGCTAACTTCACATCTGTAAAGCTATATTGGATGTGCCTGAAAAATCTGTTTTCTGTTATATTCAATACAGTACATTTCTATTTGTAGTACAAATAATTTGTAGAAAAATCATTTCTAATTCCGTTGATGTATTTTTTTATCATAAGCTGTTAGTTGCCTCAAGATAATAAATAAATATATACTCGAAGTAAATAGAGCGTGGCAGCGCAGATGACGTTAAAAAAAATATGAGCCAACTGCTTGACTCTAGTCATTTCACGTCACTTAGTGTTCAATGTAACGCTGAGCGATACGCTCGACAATTACAGTTTCGTGTTGATGCTTTGAAATGCCGAGATGCGTGATAAACGTTTGCCGAAATTATGAAAAACGCATAAAAACAACCAACAAAGTCACTTACGATAGCTAAGTAACTCATTATTAACCTTAAAAAAAACTATATCATCATATCAGTTAAAAAAAATTATGACTCCATCTTGACATTTTCAAAGTGATGTCAGTGTCCATTACAAATTTTCCCAAGTATGGCGTAATCAAATTTTTTACCAATTGCAGCAGTGTGATGAAAAAAGGTTTGTTTTATATTGATATATATTTCATTGTCTCGAAAAGTGGACGGAATATCAAGAAATTGATTTCCGAAAACTTAATAAATGAGCTTCAGAGTCTCGGACATACTATAAACCTTAGACTGAGTATTTTTACGGATAAACTTTAATCCTTTTCTAATAGGACGACCATTTTTCTTTATAATAATAAATTAAAATAATTGTAAAACACGTTTTGCACCACAGAGGTATTTATTTTATAATATGTCAAATTTTAAAGATAAATAATATTAAACAACTAAATTCAAGGCCTTAATCATCATAATATGAAAATAAGGTCTATTTTGTTGATTGGTTCTATGTTATCATGGCTATTATTTTAGTTAAACTAAATAAAAATTAGAAACATACATTTTTCATTTCAAATATTCAAGTATAAAAAAGGACATTGGGCAAAAATGTATGGACGCTGCACCCACGTCCGCCCGGCTTAAACTACGTTTGTTTGAAAGGTATTAAAGTCATGATCATCTGTGCCAAAGCGCATCAAATTCCATCCAGGGGGTCTTTAGTTATTTTAAGTTAAATAGGTACAAGTACTATTACGAACGAACATTAATGAAACAAGGGAATTAATTTAGTAAGTTAGTTCGACAGTACATAGAGGACTCAGATATTATGGGAGTACTTCACAAGGTGCAAGGGTGCCCCTCTATGTTATTCTGCCGCGCTGAAGTAAATCGAAAAATCCCCTCATGGGTTAGGGCTTTTTCAAACAGTCTGTTCGTTATAGTAAATTGTCTTCTAAGGAAAACGGAGCAACTACAAATCACACAAACTTGTCCACACTTCTTGGTCGGAGAAAACATGATTCCAGTTCATCCATACTAATTGAAAAACCGATAGTCATGTTCCAATGTCCAAAGCGAAAAATCAATCAAGTGACATGGGAGCGCACAATCATAACGAAGTAAGACGAGTCGAACATTTGCAACTGCAAGTCCTTCAATGTGTCATATCTTTTGACTACCAGATATTTTTTTAAGGTCTCATATCTTTTGACTCCCAGGATATTTTTTTATGGTTTCATAATAAAAAAGGCTAGTTTTTCATAGATCTATCGATTCATATAATTACATTGTTGGCGGAGCTGGGTATGTTTTGACCATTGTCCTTTATACGTTTTACAGATGTTTCAACGTCTATGATTTTTAATCGTGTGACCAACGACTTTGATTTAATTAAGTTTACCTACTTTTTTGGGAAATGTAGCCTAACTTGGTATCTTACGCATGCGCACCGAGCCAAAAATAATCACAATTCGCTGACATTTCGCAAGTGTAAGATGCAAGATTCGCGTGTTTTGTTTTGCGTGTCACGCACACAAGTACATAAAACCTGGTCTGTTTTTATTATTATCGCAGTGTTTACTATGTAACCCTCCATCTAGAGAGTAAATAATAAAGGTATAAACATGAAAAATAAATATATTCACCTCCTTTAATTTGAGTTGAGTGTTGAACGATGACGTGACGGTGGGTATCAAGTTTCCAAGGTATCTGCTGTTGAGGGAGAACCGGCCGACCAGTTCCGTCCAACGGGTTCTGACGTCGTCCCATACTAACGCCGTTCCAGACGGATTCCCGCTTATATACCCCACCACGGTCAAATAGTCCTGGCTTCGAATGTTCTTCTCATCCCACGCCAGTGTTAAGTATCTAGACACATAACAATTATAGTTCACTAGTGACCTACCGCGACTTCGTCCGCGTTAAGTTTAGTTTTGTTAAGAATCGCTCTGCAACCTTACATTATCCCAGGATATGTCTTCATTCAGTTAATAAACTAAGTGTAAGTATGTCAAATTTCATCTAAACCCGTTTCAGACGTTTTTATGTGATTGAGTTACAAACTATGTGAACGTTACACAACTAATTTCAGCATGGCAATAAAGAATTCAAATCACGTGTTACTTTTCTACAAACGATTAAGGTACTTATCAAATTCAATGCCTCTTTCCTCGCTAAAACACAAAAAGGGGGGAAAACAGCATCTACAGAACACAAATATAAATGAATAAATAAAAACTTTAAGACGTGAATATACCAATTAATTAAGTAATTTCGACTAAATATTCTTTATTGTGTAAAAAGGGTTGCAAACTTGGATAATGTTGATATGATTATATTCTTCGTGTGGGTGGACAAACTAACTCAATATGCCCATGCCGTCGCCCAATCGCTTAATTTGCTAAATAATGAAATTCGTAAATATACTTACTTCCGTAGTATGGTGGTGTCTCTTGGAGCAGCGAGCGCATGCCGCAGTTTCGTTTGTTCTTGGGCATCTTCCTCTTCCAGATATATGTTCCATAGCTTTTCCCACTCTTGCTGTGTGGCAGATTGCATACCTACAATGAGGTACGATTAAGCTTGTTAGATATTTGGATGATAACAATATTTTCATTGAGACCTTAGATTTAAACAAAAAGGGGAAGATACGGTACGCACATACTAGCATTAATAAAATATGATCCGTCTCAACTACATAAGCAACTCTCACACACGCACACGTCTGTATATAAACATTTCGAGCGAGCGAGACAGAACTGTACGCTTCAACGCAACGCGAGGCTAAACAGCGAGTCCGCTTCCAAATCCTTACGGCTGAGCTGTATTGTTGTCCTTTTCTTGAAAGCAAAATGGCCATTACGTAAATAAAATTCACGACAAACCGTGTATTTTTGACAAAAAAAAAATGTTTTTACAGTTTTACGAATAAAGTGTTGCCGAGGCATTTGTTATTTTATTTTGAACTATTTGTGTTCTTTATACTTTTATTATAACACAGAATATACGCAATATTGTTATATTGAGTGCACATGCAGCGTGTTTGAATGTCCAATTGTGACTAAAGCGAATTGTGATCGTGCACCACAATTTAAGAGGATCACTTATGAGCCGCGAGTGCCGTATCTTCCTTTTTTGTTTTAATCTAAGTTTGAGACACATTGTTCCGAAAATATCATAAGCTTTCACTAGCAGCCTTTACCAAAATGCGCACTGGACCAGGTTGTGGATCATGGTCCACTCTTTTATAGATATATTAGACTTAGTTTATACACAGAGATCATTTACATATAAAATTGCTACTCATCTCTAATATAAGAACTCCTCAATTTAAATATTATAAAATAGTACTTCAAATAATGTTTTAGTCAATGTCAAAGTTATTTCGAGAATCCTAGATCAATTTAAATTTATGAAAAAAATATTCATTTGTATAACGAACATCATTTATGTAATTAGTGTAAAGTAAAATATAAGATAAATTTTACATATTTTTTTTCAATAATGGCTTGGATACAAGTCCTTCAAGCCACGCTTTCAAGTCTATTCGATTCATATTAAATATTTCCAATTGTATCTTCAATAAACATTGATAATTTTCACTTATTAATTTCTGAAAAGAATAAAACAAAGTTTCATTTAACAAACTTACCGTAGTAATATACAAAGTCTCGCAGATCCGTCTCGATGGTCAGTACGTTTTCAGTGCCATGGCTATTAAGCCAATTAAGGAACATAGTTCTGACTTTAGCCTGCGCATCAGGTAGCTGGCAACGTGTCGCCAACGATAAAATCCTTGTTCGTAATAGACTAGAAACATAACATATTGCTATAAGGTTGGTGCACATAATTATATCAGATAGATATATATATATATATAGATAGATTTGTGTATGGGCACGAATCGGCCCTGCCTCATCTCAAGCCGTTTGATATTCCTTTTAAGAAAGGAGATGGTTCAGTAATGATAGTCGGTTTCTGGCAGCGACAGAACACATATAATTTGAAAACTTGTTTTTTATTATAACATGAACATATACTTTTATTTTTTTATTTATCTCCAATTAATTTTAATTCTTGTTTAAAAATTGAACAATGTTGCAAAGGTTGCTGGCCACCCTGTCAAATGTAACGTCATATTTTTAATGTGGCAGCTTAAAATGTCCACTTAATCGCTATGGCAAATGTCAATCAGTCCAGTCTTGCTTGATATTCATGAAATCGTGGTGAACTTATTATAACAATTAATTATTGATTCTTCTTGAAGTAAAACACCCAATAATGTAATGAAAGATGAACAGAATGATTATCACTGCATTAGCTAACATTACTTAAATAGAGTATATTTGATGCTTTGGAAACAAAAAATAGATAAATAAACTTGCCATTTGCTAATCAATAATTACATAATTTTATATAATAGTTAATAATATTTTTTTAATGGGGATAAAATAAATTCTAGTTTTTCGGCAAACGATATACAATTAAGTGCACTACATCTCATTGGAGTCTGCCGGAGACTGACTACCACCCTCCATACATATTTGAACCGTCTCCTTTCATGCTGCAATGTACATTAAGCACTGTAAAGGTATCGGCGACGCTAAGCTTGGAACACACGACCACAAACGGGGAGTGACCAAGTCAAGGTCCGCTTACGTCTAACTGTCAACCGGTTACGTCTTTCTGTCAATCCGCTTACGTCTATCTGACAACCCGCTTACGTCTATCTGACAACCCGCTTACGTCTATCTGACAACCCGCTTTCGTCTATCTGACAAACAGTTGACGTCTATCTGACAACTCGCTTACGTCTATCTGACAACCAGCTTACGTCTATTTGTCAATCCGCTTACTTCTCGCCATCTACCGCTTGTCTCTAAAAATCGGTGGATACATGACTAGCAGTAGACACGTAGCCGTAAGCTTATCATTGCCAATACGTAGTCAAGTGGACGTACCGCAGGTGCTGATCTGCCTTTGGTGTGGTTGATTCCCAATAATAAGGAATCCACGTCGTTGTTACCAACAAGAGAGGGCATATTCCGGACTTTTAGTGGATACTCGGGATGGGGTCATCCCGAGTAGCCATTGAGCCATCCTTAATTGTAGTGCCTTCTTTTTCTTACCCAGCGGCGGGATATGCATAAAGCTTAAAACTCACGGAGCGGTTTTTACCGTACACAATCGCCCACTCAGCCGGCGTAAATTGCGTAGCGAAATTTGCCATTGTGTATTACCAACAATTTCACATTCTACGCGAGCTGCGGTCGCGCAGCCGCAGCGAGCGTGGGGGAAAATCGCGCCCGTGAGTTCTTAGCCTAACGCACATATATCTCTCATTTTCGAAAATAACTATTATTTGAAAGTTAGTAAATTAAATATTATAATGTTTTTAAATAAATCATGAACATTGAAAATTTCGTGTGAAAGCAGTTTCATGCTAAAATCAGACTCTGGATCTGATGACTCCATAAACTTATGTTAAATTGTCATTCAAGTTAGCTAGTGATGTATGTGTTATCTCATATTAAAACTCCTTTTATTTATAAAGACTAGGCTTGCCAGATGCTGGCTTATCAATTCTGTTACATTTGCGGCCCCCTAAAAATATAAAGCATCTAATCAAACCCCCATCACCCCCCAGAATTTAAAAATCAAGCAGGCCAGCGGTGTCATTCGTTTTTAGTTTATTTTGTTACGAATAATGTGCTATTATCGGAATCCGGGACAATAAGGCCTTATTACTGGGCACGGGACAAGAAGCAAAGTTCCGGGACAATCCCGGATTTCCCGGTCATCTGGTAAGCCTAACAAAGGCAATTATTCTCCTAATTTTACAGTAGTAGAGTATTTCACACATACCCTTCGATAACACCGAGATTGGTTTTCTGCCAAATTTGTTTTTCGTACAAAGGCTTTACAAGTTGTTGTACATAAATCTGAAAATAATCGAGACATAATTAATTACGCTTAGCGAATAAATATAGAAGGAGACATTGCGGCACTTAGACAAGCATCAGATTAAGTAATATTTATACCTACAAATTAAAATTTTAGTGCGTTTAGTTGTTACTTTACCAAAATAAGTCTATCGTACGTAGTTACTTACCGAGTATGTAATTTAAAGCTAAGTGGGTAAGCATTTAATTATTTCAGTAATTATTTATTCACTTCTGTTATGTTAACAACCTAACCTCTATGAGATAGAAAGGTAACTCACATTTAAGTTATCGGAGAGCGAATTAGTCAGTTTGTCGGAGAGTGACAGGAATATTCTGGCGGCGGTCTCCCACGGCACGTAGTCCTCTTCTACGCGTAAATACGAACTGAGAGAAAGGGCCACGTCATAAGGGATAACGCGAGCCTCGGCCAACGCGAACGCGTCGTCTAACAGATGTGACCTATCCGATATTGTGAGCTGGAACCAACATCTGTCGTCAATAATAATAATAATTATCATTTATTTCAGATAAACATCCATAATTATTAGTACAAGTTAGTAACAATGTGGGGCTTATCCTATGTTAGTAGTATTAGTATATTAATCAATCATTCTTAAATTACCAAATTATCCGCCATATTCATTATATTTACAATTATAATATATTCTATATGTCAATTAAATTCAATTAACAATCAAAAGATTCAAATAAAAATTTAATAGAAATATTTAGGTACATTATTAGTAATATATAGGTACTGCATTATTCATGGGTGAAAAGTATGTAGGTGCACCCAGCGCTTCAACATTGGATGTCAAATGTCGATGTCAATAATTATGTCCACTATTCAAATAAGTAAGTTTATGGAACATATAGAACAGGCTGAGCGACACGACACGCCATCATCAGCCTATTATTGTCCCCACTGCTGGGGCACATGACTTCCCCATGGATGGAACAGGAAGACTCGTAACCCACCACACGGGCCCAGTGCGAATTGGTGGGTGCTTACGACTGCAATTGCAGCCGGGATCAACGGCTTAATGTGCCTTAAGCACTGTCGTGCTCGAAGCACGTAGAAGCTCGAGATAATAAGTTTTTGTTCACCCATCGCATGACCGACCGTTGTGAAAGTTACTTAACGTCCACGATCGCAGGCGGAAGGCGCTTACTACCCGCGTCAGCGATCTCCTCTTCTCACCGATACACTAGCATGAAATTGACAACTCTCCAGTGAGAAAGAAAGCAATGGTACCACAGCCAATATCATTACGAATACAATTTATTGGCCGCAGAATCGTTTCGTTTCTTTTACACTTATCCTTCTTACTTTGCAGTTATCATCACTTGTCATGGAACATATCCATATATACTTAGTCAGCTATAGTTTACTAGTTCATACTATCATATGTGAACAAAAATAACAAAAAACCTTAGATTAAAACAAAAAGGGAAGATACGGCACTTGCGTCTCACAAGTGATCCCCTTAAATTGTGGTGCATGACCATAATTCGTTTTTGTCACAATAGGACATTCAAACACGCTGCATGTGCACTCATTATGACAATATTGCGTATATTCTGTGTTATAAAGATAAAATAATGCCTTCGATTCTTTTATAAACAACACAGTTCAAAATCCAATGCTTCGGCACAATTTCATTCGTAAAACTGTAAAAACATTATTTTCTCTAAAATCACGGATTGTCGTGAGTTATTTAGGTAATCGCCATTTTGTTATCAAGAAAAGGACAACAATACAGCTCAGCCGTATGGACTCGGAAGTATCGCTCGCGCTGCGTTGAAAGGTACAGTTCTGTCTCGCTCTCTCGATTGAATGTTTATATACAGACGTGTGCGTGTGTGAGAGTTGCTTATGTAGTTGAGTCGGATCATATTTTATTTGAAGTTAGTATGAGCATAACGTATCTTCCCTTTTTGTTTTAATCTAAGGAAAAAACACATTAAAACACCTCATAATCATTTACTAGAAAACTCGGAGGACCAATTATCATGAAGAATTAAAGGTTTGCAACATTTCATTTAAAATAATCTAAAACAATATGTAAGGCATACGAATGGAGTTTATTGGACAGCAACTATGAGCATAAACGTAATATCTATATATCAAATGCTTATGTCAGAGAAATTAAAAAATATGGAAAGATGCATTCAAAGGGGTTATTTTATATATTCAACCTTTATTTCCACATATCAGCAAATTGCGGACTTAATGCCACAGGCATTCTTTACCAGCCACCTACTAAAAATTTATTCAATGTACGAACTAGTGATCATTGAATTATCAAGTAACAGACAGAAATAGGTACAAGGTAATGGCGCAACTTTACCTGTTCTGACTTCGCTTTAAGTTGCTCAATAAGTTTTTGCCACATCTCTAACGGATAATTCACTCTATAATAGCCTATTTGTTTGTTATTTATTTTAATCCAACTTTCAGCTTCTCCAACAGTCACAACCACTGTAAAAATGAAATAGAGTTAAAGGAAATAATTATATTACTTAAATGGCAATCATTTATCATCGTATACTCACCATTTTCTGCTGTATCTGGAAACCATATAATGTTTCTGTTGGTACCATTACTACTTGTATAAGTTATCGGTACAAACCAACGATATCTAAAAATATTATGTTGGTTACATTATAATATTAGAAAAACCTAATAAAATTAAGAGAAACATCAATAACTTCAAATATTTCATATTATTTTTCACTTTTCTGTAAGCGTTTTTTAGTATTTATTTAATACACTAATTATCATAATAACTCACTTATAATCCGTGTCGTTTGTAGATGTGACTTCTGGATCTAAGAGGAATCGTTTTTGTGTGACTACATATTGGTTGGGTTGGTCGCCTTTGGACAATGTAAGCAGCGGATAACCCATCTGTCTGGTCCAAGTGTCCATTATGTAGCTAAAATTACCAACAAAATCAAAATTAAACTAACTACTTAGCAGTGGGTTGTTAGCCTTGTTATTGTATTCCTATTTTAATGAAAAACTTTAAACATTGGTGTCGATTCTGGCGTGATTCTCTAAACTTAAAACTAAATTTAACATCAGTCTCTCCTTTTCATTCTGTAAAGAGAATGACATTGTTGTCAAATTTAAGTTTAGGTTTAGAGAATCATGCCAGAATCGACATCATTGTGAAAATTAATCTAAGCTTCTCGCCGTAAACAATTGAATTTTTGAGCGAATTAGTATTAGCCTTTCTAAGATTTGATAGCCAATTGGCATTCAGGAGAATCAGGACACAAGGACACTTACAAGATACTGAGGTTCGGATATTCCTTTTTGAAGTAGGGTTCCAAGGAAGCCAGCAAATCTTTTGTGATGGTATTGCTATATTTGTATTTCTTTAAATAGTCCGATACTCCTAGACGGAAATTTTCCTCACCTATAAATCCCTCCAACATACGTAAAACTGATGCACCCTAAGAAAACGAAAAATTGAAGCGCTAAAAGATTGAAAACAATGCTGCGCTCTTTATTAATTTTATTACTTAATTTTACCATTGGCAGGTTCCGCAGAACATTAAAAATGTGACATCAAAGACACATGTCACTTTTAGCCCGAACCCCAAGCACGAACTTCAACAGCTCCGTAATCGTATCGTCATCGTCAAATTTTGTATGGTAAAAGCTAGTTTGTTCTCACGTCCGATAGGCTGCTTAGTTTTTATAGAAACTTTGACGATGCGATACGTTTCGATCAAAAACAACAATTCATTTATTATTTATTTAATAAATTATATCTGATACTTGGAAAAAAACGATAAAGATGAAAAAAGGAAAATGTGCATCCAATCCACAAAATAAAGTATTTATACAAGTCAATCTGTCTTGCCAATGGCTAGCGAATTAATTCGATTTTAAATCGATTCTTTTAGTCACTGCGAAATGGACTAAAGGAGTTGTGGAGTCGCCTCGAATTTTAAAACAATGTAAGAAGTTACGTAAACATTTAGTATTTGTTAGGCGTGTTCGTATTTTGGTTGGTATTCGTATCTCTTTTCCTACTTATTGTCATACTAACAAATGAAGTACCTATTCATAATTATCTCTCGAATGACATATATTACGATTCTATTGGTTCAATGTCCAATTTGACCAAGAAGACCAAATAAAATATATTTCGACCAAAGAAAATAAAGTATAAGTATTTGTTAGGCGTGTTCGTATTTTGGTTGGTGTTCGTATCTCTTTTCCTACATAATGTCATACTAACAAATGAAGTACCTATTCATAATTATCTTTCTAATGACATTTATTACGTTTCTATTGGTTCAATGTCCAATTTGACCAAGAAGACCAAAGAAAATATATTTCGATAATTCATTTTAATCCTTACCTTATTATAAGAGATTGAATCAAAAATTGCAGTGATTTCATCAGGGGTCGCCACTGACTGAACTATTGAATGACTAGAAAGTTTTGCATCAGTCACCAATACAGAGTGCATTGTCTTTATTAAAAACTGATCCATCTGTAACATTACAATGCACATGTGTAAGAAAGGTTAGGAATTTTTTAATAATTGTAAATTAACCAACTCTTAAATTAAGAAAAATATTAATTTTAATACAGAAGATAAAAAATACTTAAACAAAGAAACATATTAAAGAAATCGGGGAGAGAGGAAGAGTGAAGGAGGAAAGGAAGCGTGAGGGAGGAGTCCTTGCACTTAGTTCTGGGATGTAGGATGTCAAAGACAGAACTCTCGATTCTTATAACTACAATGACAGATTATGAAAAGAAGAAACTACCATTGTCCAGGAAGGTTCTATGGCATTCAGTGCTTTAACTTGCATGTATGATGCAAATCCTTCATTAAGCCATAAGTCATCCCACCATTTCATTGTAACTAAAAAAAGTCAAATTAAATAATTCACACTTTCTAATAATATCATGGAATTAAAAGTATTTAATTGCTAAAAATGCAATACTTTTATAAGATGATTTTTTAAGGCTGCAGGCAAGTAAAATAAACAGTACTTCTTAGATTTAAACCAGAAGGGAAGATACGGTACGCTTATACCTACTAGCATCAAATAAAATATGCTCCGACACAACTACATAAGCAACTCTCACGCACGCACTCGTCTGTAAATAAACATTCAATTGAGCGAGCGAGACGGTACTGTACGCTTCAATGCAGCGCGAGCGAAACGGCGACTCCGCACCGTTGAGCTGTATTGTTGTCTTTTTCTTGATAACAAATGGGGATTACGTAAGTACATAACACGACAAACCATGATGTTTTGTTATTTTTTTAAGTTTTACGAATGAAATGTGTTGCCATGGCATTTGTTATTTGATCTTGAACTATTTGTGTTCTTTATCAAAGCATTGAAGGCATTGTTTTTATCTTTATAACACAGAATATACGCAATTATGCACATGCAGCGTGTTTAAATGTCCAATTGTGATTAAAGCAAATTGTGGTCATGCACCACAATTTAAGCTGTTGACCCGAGTACCATATTTTTCCTTTATGTTTAGTTTAGTATAATTTTCATAAAATTAACAGCTATTTATTATAATGAATTCATAATATGATGTTTTTTTGCTACAAACATACCTAAATTACCGAACCACATATGAGCCAGCTCATGTGCTACAGTGTTGGCAACATTGATCTTATTTCTTGAAGAGGCTGTGGTCTCATCAACCAGAAAAGATGTTTCTCTATATGTTATAAGACCCCAATGTTCAGTTGCCCCAGAGACATAATCAGGGATGGCAATCATGTCTGAAATATCACTGCTATTTATTGTAAAGAATAATAAAAGTTACAGAAATAAAACAATAAGGTAGATTAATAAAAAACTTCAACACTTGCTGGAGGCACTGCTTGAGGAAGTCTTTTTCAGGAAATCTTTATGAGTTTTGGATGAGGATCCGTAACAATTTTAGTTGAGAATGCATATTTATAGAGCTAAGATTGAATAAAATACAGTGGTAAAATTTTTGTTCAACTACAAATATAGAAGAAGTTATGACCTAAACAAATTTAGACTGTGACGTCACAGAGCTCTGGTGCTCGGGCGCGAGCGTGCGTAGAGATGCTACTAAAGTTCGACTGGAACCACGATAGAGCTCTGTGACGTCACACGTTTCGGCCAACAAATACCAAATAAAATCGAAACAAATGAACCAATTTCGGTGATTTAAAAGTATATTAAATAAAGGGCGTATGCTGAGTTGGACATTGAATTTCTTTTGGTTTAAAAATAAATACTTAAAGCGCTTTGGCACATACGGTAATCTCTCATATCAATGCTGCCATCTAGCACAGATAATTTTGAAAACCCATAATTAAATCCAATGCAGGTGTTGTTAATTATTAAGTTTTCACTATAATATAAAAAATATATATAAATAAAAATAGAGCAAAATTAAAATAAATATAAAAAACTAAATATATAAATTACAATTGAATAAATTGTTACCTAACTTGGGCAGAGGGAAAGGCACTTCATAATACTTTATGTAAAATTCTGTAGCTCTCTTTCCAATGTCCTGTGCAAAATCAATTTTATGCATTTGATGCTTTTGTGAAAATGACCTCAGTATAAAGTTCTTCCCAATCCCATTAGAGTTTATCTCATTTTGTTTAAAATCAAAGTCACAAATAACAAAACAAGCTAGGTAAGTAGACATTGGTACACTCGTTGCGAAAGTAACAATTTCAAATTGTCTATCATCTTCAACTTTGCTGGATATCGCCTGCAAAAAGTCAAATTAATATTTGTGATTCAATGCAAAAAAAATTGTTACGCAAGAGGGATATTATAGCTAATGTATTATATGTTCTGCCTGAAAACAAGGACACTTTTACAGTATGAAAATAATTATTCAATGAACTTCTTCATTCTACTTACATTCATATTGGATAGAGCCACATATGACAATGGTTTTACTAAAGATATGTCATATGTAGCTTTGAAATCTGGTTCATCAAAACATGGAAATGCTTGTCGAGCATAAGTGGGCTCAAATTTACTTGCAACCATAGTTCTGAAATAATAAATAAATAATTAATTAAAAAACAGACAAAAGTTACAGTGATGTTATAGTGACTACCGACTATGATGTACAGATAATAATTAATTTCTTGAAGTAGGCTACCTGGGTTATTAACATAGTAAGAATGTTTAAAATTATGTATGTTTTGATTGGAGTATAATACCTACCTATTATCTTTTAATTTAGATAGATAAAATCCCACAAAACTATGAGTTAAGTCCCCATTAAAGTCAATTTCAATGTTATATATTCCTGTTTCAAGAGTTTTATCAAAGTTTATTGAAAGCTGTTCTGCTTGCTTGATTTCGATATATTTTGAAACTGGTATGTCTACATTATTTTTTAAAACTTTTACAGAAGTTATGTTTAAAAACTTTGTGTGAAGATTTATATAATTCTTTTCTTCCTTTGTTGTAATATCTATTTTGACTGTTCCCTGAAAGAGGCCTGAATTGAGGTCTGGACGTAAAAATAGATTATAATGCGTTGGCCGAACTAATGGTGAAAGCCTTCCTGAAAGTGTTTCTGTTCTTTCCATTGTTCTAAACGAATGAATGGAGCGGTAAAGGTTGTTTGAAGTGATTTTATTAATAATGGTAAAACATCGAACAATCGAGAAAAGTTTGCACATTTACTATTTATTTCATAACACCATTAATAAATACAATACAAAGGGTACTCTGTACTTTTATAATACATTAAATTTGAACTTAACATGAAAACAAGATTCAGTTCGCCGAACTGGCTGTCAATGTCATATCATATTTTTCCCTGTTCCAGGAAAGCAAAGGAAACATAGTCCATACATACTGCTTATTTTTTTTATTTCTATCTCTCTCTAAATTTAAGAGCTATGCTCTTGTCGGTGCAGACTATTATCCATCCCCATCTTCCTCTATTATTTTATTTATTTCTATACGGTTCCTATAATCTATTTTTAACCAACTTCTAAAAGAAGAAGATTCTCGGTTTGTCAGTATAAGTATATATCATTTGGAATCGGTGCCATTCATATTGAATGATAGATCTGAGTTTATAAGTCCTGCTTGGGTTGGCATAGCATGGCACTAATGTTAATTTGATTTTATGTAAATATAATATTCTACGCGCAAGGTTTTTGTTCCTTCTTTATCACGACGGACGTTTTGACCAGGTTTCATCCTATGCCTTGTTGTTTTGTTGTCTGCATATCCGATAATGAACCCCTCTAATGACACATGATTTTTCCAAGTACCCTTACACACAACACTTACCGTCCGTTATACGAAATGTGCGCACAAAAAGGTAATTGCGTTTTTACAAATACCGGATTCCATGATGCAGATAATTTGCAACCGCCTTTCCGAATGAAAGTATTTCTGATTTCAATCACTTCAAGCACTCCTCTCGACTAAAAGTGGCGAACGGAGCAGAGACTTTTTGTGGGCAGTCGCCTTAACTCCAGAGTAGGGCCACTTTTTGCCGTTGTAACGAATGCACCATTAGTGGTGGTGCAGATAAAACTGATTGGTTTCGTTTGCACCATTAATATGAATACTACTATTTCCCTTTTCTTTCCTTGTTATAAAAAAAGGATTATTGAAAAACACAAACAAATGCCGAATAAACGAATACTCCAAACACATATAGTACATACATATGCATATAGGATCACTGAGCGTGAGTACACATTTATATTTTCGTTTTGTTCAATCTCTTTTGTTCATTCTCTCTAACTTCTTGCTATATTGATTAAAATTTCTATAATACGTAGATCGGATTCGCACTTGATTTTAATAGATTTTTTTGATCACTTTTTTTTATTGAATGATTTTCACGTCACTATTGCAATGTGTCAAAACCGCTATCATATCGTGCCGCGACTTTATCCAGTCAAACGTCCGAGGACACTTGAGTGCCCTCTGTGTGTGGTCCTGATTTTTGCTCATTAGCACGGTTTAGAAAGCAGCTTCTGGTTTCTATAGTTTAGCCAAAATATGTAGATGACGTCATGAATAAAATGCAGTGCTCTCTGAATTTTATATTTTTTACATCAGTTTGAAGTATGCGCTCCGAGAAAAATGGAGACGTCGGTGGCGTGGACGTCTCCGAATCCGAAGTGACAATGACCAATTTCGTATTTTTTTTTCTCATTATTTAATCTTAAAGTTTGATATATCCACATGTTCATCAAGATTAACCTGTGACAGTGATGCGAGAGATCATAGTTTTATTTCCGTTAGAATAAAATTAAAAACCTACAAAAATGTGAACACGCCTAAAGTTTCATTTGTTACCAGCAATAGTTTTTATTATGCTTTTCTTGTCTTAGGTTTTTTATCAAAATGTTTATTGAAAAATTACTGTAAAAAATTGCAAACATTGAAAAGGTAAGGATTGCTGATATAAACCAAGCCTGTATTAATAAACAAATTAGGCACCTATCAAATGTTTAATACTTAACTATTCCGGTATTGTAAAATACTGGGCAAATTTAAATATTCTATACTTGTTTCGCTAAATAAAAAAATTGCTTAATAAAACAAAAAAAATCGGAGCTCAGGTTTCGGACCACCGAACAGCTGGTGTCGACCCCAAAAACCGTTACCGTTCGACTATCCGTCTCATAAATTAAGTGGTAAAATTACGGATACCTATTGTGTCAAATACTCTACTTCTGTTTCATCGAACCTCAGATCACAACGGTGCTAAAGAAGTTTTCACTTCAAACAGCGCTGCACTTATTGAAATTCAGAGAAGCCCGCAGCTACAAATTCATTAAATTTTCATTCTAAAACTACTTTGGTGATATGATAATATATCAATATTTGTTAAACATTTGGTGTGAATTATCGACCATTTTGTATAGTTCAGTGTGTAGGTACATATAATTATGTAAAAAGAAAAAACATTTTCCAAACTAGTACTTATGGATGATTTGGTATTAATGTGCGGAAAAGGTAAGATTTTTAATACCAAAATTTTTAACAAGAACAGTAATGAAAATAAAAATTGTGTAATCATCGGTATAATCATCCAAGCGCAGCTAGTTTTGTTACGTGAGCTGGCCGAACAGCGGGGGAAAATCGGCAGAGGGGAAAGCTGTTAATGCCTACTCTCCTCCTAGCCACGTCGGCCGCGTTGCTCTATGGCTGCCACACACTAAAAATATGACGTTACTTGTCACAGAGTGGCAAGCATCCTTACAAAATTGGTAAATTTTTAAATTCTATTAAAAAAAATCGGAGATAAATAAAAAAATTAAAGTATCTGTTCATGTTATAATAAAAAACAAGCTGCTGCCCGTAACCGACAACCACTTTTGAACCATCTCTATACTCAAAGCTTAAAAAAATATCAAGTTCACGAACTCAGAATACAGAAGAAGTTTGTTCTGTATTCTGAGTTCACGAATTACTAGATAGGCTTTACCATCTACGGGTTGCCAAAGTAGAATCTGAGAGGGTCTATAGGATTTCACCCCTGGCTTACCTTAATTCGTTGTTCAGGGTAGAGTTCAGGTAGAGTTATATAACATTACTCTATGAATACAGTGAAACCTACTTAAATAGCTAAAAAAAGTAAGAATTTAAGTAGGTACTAACTTACCGACCACTTTTCAATGTGCTTTGATAAAAGCTGACATATCCTCTATCTAGTCTTCCTGTGAATACTAATATTAATTCATAGTTATTAATTTCTATTTCGTGTCCTAGCTCTATTATAAAGAATTCACGATCATCGTTTGTTCTGATAGTAGACGCAATTATAATTTCTCTTTTTTTACGTTTTAATTTCACTGAAGAAATGTCTAATTTATTAGAATGTATGGTGATATTTTTAGTTGGTTCAGTTATATGAATCTTTATGTTTACTTTTCCACTGAAAGTTTTGTTTCCCATGTTCGGTCTTAATAATAATTTATAATTTAGAGGAATGACGTGTTTTGGTAATCTGTAGTGTGTGAGCTGCAACAATATAAAAAATATTAATACACAAAGTCCGGTTGTCAGCAATAGCAATCACGTAAACTTTGGTAAGTTGTAACCACGATTGCTATGTGAAAGATACACGTAGAGTCGAATTTAGAGATGTGGAGGCCCTGGGCATAAAATAAAGAGAAGGTACAGAAAGTAATCTCATCCATGTATTTTACTTTGCTTACCTACGCTCGGCGGTCGCGCCAGGATTATCAATTTTGACTTATGCACAAAAGAAGTATATCTATAGGTAGGTGTAACTCGTATCTACTTTTTTGATTTACTGTCGAGAATAAAACAGAAAGAACGAAAATATACCTAAACCAGTAGCAGGTAAGTATGATGCGGGTAGCGCGTGGAACCTATTCAAGGCATTGAGTTTATACTTACTTGTAGGAGCCATTAAAGAGGTGTGAGCAATATTCAACGCAGGACTTGCGTCTTGTACAACAAAAAAAAATGCCGCACCTTGTTCATGACCCCGGGTTTACGTGAAGCTGTTTAGGTCACGGTTTCATTGTAGTATCTTGGATTCAGGTCACAGAGAACATCCATACCGAGCATGGTGATGTTGCTCTGTAGCACCAGTGTTGTGCCCTGAAGAGAGGGAAGGGGAAGGAATGACGACGATTTTGCCGTGAAAGAGCAAGCCTAGGTTTTCTTAGCATTAAAATCAATCAAGTTCCTGGTACCCCATTCTATGATTCAACGCCTGAGTAGAGTAAGTTTTTAACTAGTAACTGTGCCATGATACTGCGCCAACCTGAAAGGGATATCTATGTGGCGTGGTATAGCTACTTGCATACAAAAGATGTAAATATTAAGTGGATTAGCAATTCAATAACATTTCCAAATAATTTACCTCATGGATTTTGGTTTTACGATCGGATGCATACATGGATGGAGAAGTTTTAGCCGGAGTGACGTCACAATTCGCTGAAACTTTATTCAATCTAGCCGAAAGAGCCAGGACTGCTATGATTAGGCAGAAGGCAAGTATAGACAGCAATATGAAATACTTGTTCTTCCATAACGACTTTGTTATGTCGATTTTCTTCTGAAAAAAGATAGCAAATGTAATACAGTTTTTGTAAAGTATGACAAATATAAGACGATTGCAAGCTCAAGGCAGCACCACAACTCCGCATTGAAAAGAACTGGTCGTCCGTCCATCAAACTATTGTGTAAACGCCATTAAGAGAGATAGGGCATAGCGTATTCCCGTTCGGATCCCCGTCTGGGGAAGTCACCTCCACCTTACAGAAGGTCAGAATAAAATACCATTACCTTTTGGGGATGAGGTTGTGTTTCTGTCGGTGAGTAAGGATCCAAGACTTCACGTAGGATTGGGTCAGGGTACGGCAACGGTACGAGTGACAACAAGCGTCTAAAGGCTATAGTGGCTGCTTACCATGAGACGGACCATATACTTGTTTGCCGCCCATTTAACATAAAAAGGTAATTCAAACTAATAGTATGGACCAATAGTAAACTCATCATCGCAGCGAGTTCGTCGCTAACGGCGGTGCTGTTCCTCATTACAATAAAGAGCAATGCCCACCGCATGTACAGTAAAATCCGTTTAAGACGATTGCACAGGGACTCAATCAAAAACGCGTCTTAAGCGGGAAAGCGTATTATGCGGGATTGCGGGATAGGGAAATTTCGAATGTAGGTATATTGAGGTATTAAATGTACAATATTTAAGAATTATGTACGATATAATAAATGTAGTGTTTCATTATTACCTTATTTAAATTAATCACTTATATTAGTTTGACAAAAA